TTTCCACTGTTTATTGGGAAACCGGTAAAAATTCAACCCAGGATTTCCTCAAATCGTTCCACGTTTTTTCCAGATATTTGGAACATTTTTCGGCCTTATTCTTAAAAACACTCGTTTGTAACATATGTACTATGCTCCACACCTCAAAGTCCCACCACGTGACCACGTACGGAACGCAGTCTTTTGAAGTTTGGCATTTAAGGCTTTCCAGGTTATGTATCTGTCAAAGTATAGTCAATGAAAGAAATAATATTTATAGTGTTACCGCTTATGTTTAAGCGTTAAAAGTTAATAAATCTTTATAGTATCACAATAACAATGGTTGGTTTAAGAATTTAGGAATATAAATACTGCATTTAATGAAATTCCAAAGTGTAAGGTGCAATATAAGTGATATTTTTGTGCATTGGGTCTACATTTCTCCATAAAATATTTTTAACTAAACAGCATTTATTAAAAAAAATCTAACTTCTCTATTATGAAATAAAAATATCTGTATCAAAGGTAGGTTAATGTATTAGAACAAAAAATATCATCTAATTTTGTATTTGGAAAAAGGTTGGAAAAATCTATTTTGACCAAAATAAATAAGTGGATTATTTGAAAGAGTGTGTTAATATGGTCATAAATAAATATAGGTATACTAAATAATTGTTGAATATAGTTCAAATTAAATTGAAGCTTTTATACTTTTAAAGACAAAACTTGTGCATACCTCTCGGCATACTTCTTTAAGTTAGATTATAAGAAAACAAACAATTTTTAGAGAAACTTGCAATGTGAAAATATTAACGTAAAGTTATAATGATTTTTTGATGTAGATCAAATTCAGTCAAAGCTTTTTAACTATTTGTATTGACAAAACTTTATGTAGGTACACTTTAAGATGGATAAGAAAAACTACCACATTTTTAAATACCATATTATACAGTCTTTTAAATAATCCAAAATACTTATTTATTTTGGTAAAAATAAATTTTTCTAACCTTAAAATTACAAAATTAGATGATATTTTTGTTATAATATATTAACCTACTTTTAATAAAAAAAGATATTTGGACCAAATGCACAAAAATATTTCTTATTTGGCACCAAACACTTTAGAATTTCATTAAATGCAGTATTTATATTCTTAAATTCTTAAACCATCCATTGTTATTCTGATGTTATAAAGATTTATACATTTTTAACGCCTAAACAATATTATTTCTTTCGTTGACTATACTTTGACAGATACATAACCTGAAAAGCCTTAAATGCCAAATTTTCAAAAGACTGCGTTCCGTACGTGGTCACGTGGTGGGACTTTGAGGTGTGAAGCATAGTACATGTTTGACAGCTGATTATTAAAAGTTGTTACGACGTAACGGCCAGCGTAGGTAATACCTACTATAGTACCTATAGCAGTGGCGGCTGGTGGATTTTAAGTATACCAATATCTCAGTTATTAGACATGGGACCCACACCAAATTTATAATAGTTTATATTGACATTAAATAAACAAGTTCGGCGCAAACAGAATTTAAATTGAAGTTTGCGAAAAAAAGTTAGTTTTTCCTGTCGCCTACCCTGCCTCCAGGCCCCCCTATTTGAGATAATTCAAATTAAAGTGGTGCAATTTATTATCTACTATAATTTATCGACAAATTTAAAATTTTATTCAAAAAATCCAAATATTACAGATTTTATTCGATTTTAAATTTTTATTATTTATTTTATTAAAATAAAAAAATATTTAAAATGGTATAAAAACTGTAATATTTGGATTTTTTAAATAAAATTTTAAATTTGTCGATAAATTATAGTAGATAATAAATTGCACCACTTTAATTTGAATTATCTCAAATAGGGGGGCCTGGAGGCAGGGTAGGCGACAGGAAAAACTAACTTTTTTTCGCAAACTTCAATTTAAATTCTGTTTGCGCCGAACTTGTTTATTTAATGTCAATATAAACTATTATAAATTTGGTGTGGGTCCCATGTCTAATAACTGAGATATTGGTATACTTAAAATCCACCAGCCGCCACTGACCTATAGGTATATCTTAAATTCGTAATTAAAATATGTATGTTCCGGTGGGGCGCTCGAGCGGTGTAAAAAATAAAATAAAATTTTACACCGAAATAATTCCAAAAAATTACTCAATTGTTGAAATCAAATTTATTAATCAAATAAAAAAAGTATTTTTAATTTTTAAGTTTGTATACCTATTGTATACCTATTGTACCTATTTTAAATGATATTACCTTAAAAATAGAATTAATTACAAAGGTCTGACTTTTACTTTTTATTCATATATGACTTTTTTTACTTTTATAAAAGTCATGACATTTTTCAACCCTACTTGAAGGTAATTCTCTTGTTGCTATTATTTGCACACAGATAAATTTGGTAAATATTTAGCTATAACTCAACACTAATGCAAACATTATTTATTAGTATTTAAATACCTACTAAATGATAAGAGTATTATTTTGTATGCAAAAACATATTGCATGTCTTCATTTTATTCTTTCACCAATACATATAATTTGGTTAAAAAGATTTATTACAATTTTGAATATAATATTGTATTGACCATGTACTTTTAGGTTTTCACGTTTTTTCTTGGATTCTTTGGTTTGTTTTTATCATTTATTATTTATATTTTAAAAAATTCTGATTTGGGATTTTTTCAAACTCGTTATATTCGGGAGAAAGGTTATCCAAAGACCATGGTCTGTGGGTAATCCTATCCCGGTTTTCCGTGATAGGTCTAGAAATAATGCAGTAAGAAAAATAATTGTATATTCTGTAACAAGTTTGAAATACGGCATATTTCGCTCGAGTGAAAAGTTTGTCACACGAGCCGAAGGCTAGTTTTACGGTTTCACGCAATTCCAAACGTGCTTCGGACTATACTTTTTTTAAGTTTTAAAAAAATACTATAGAAAAATAATTTAATTGGGAGAAAGTTAGGTTGGATCAGCCTAAAATTTGTTAGATATTAAACAAAGAGATGTCGCCACCAGTGTTTATTCCGACATTCGATGATAGAATATTTCATTTTGTAAAACTTTAAGGAATTCCATATTAAAAATTCTTTTGTTTAGTCCCACCTTTAAAACGTCCATTATCGTACATGCTTCCATGACAGTAAGTGATATATACACATTGACTAGCTGTGGCTTAATGGCGTTTTAGTCACGGGATAAAGTTAGCTTTAAGTAAGTTGAAAGTTGTCAAATACAATCGTTCTATTTTATTATCTCAATACAAATAGGTACAAAATTGTTTAAAAGTTTTTAAATTGATTTAACAGACTAACACATCCATTTTGTAAGTCGGGAAAACATATTCCTTACAAATTCTTACATCTATTCTATTTCCCTAAATCGCGCGGTCATATTATTTTTGTAGGGAACAAAAGTTCAAAACCCATAAAATGTTAATATTATATTAATATTAGGTCTTTTTATTTATACAGGGTGTTCCTTTTTTGCTGGGTCGTTCAAATTTCTTATTTAAAAAAATGGGCAAAAATAATCGCAAAAATAATCCTAAGGAGAAAATTACATATAATTTAAGTATATACAAATATTTTTTAATTTAAAAATAATGCAATAACCATTAAAATTTATAAAAAATATTTTTGTTTATCAAACTTGATATAATATAATATACCATTATGCATTATATTGCACGACTTATGTTTTATTAGGAACGAGCGAAGCTTGCGAGCGAGTGTTTAATAAAAACGGGTGTCTAGAGAAGTTTAAAAAACGAATTGCATACTATACTTTTTCTACTCCTATTGCATATTATTGACATTATTTGGGTTTTCTTTGTAAATAATGGTAACCAATATAACCGCCCGGCCTAACAACGGGAATATTGAACTCATTATACACGTTGTTAGGCATCAGTGATTGGCTGATTTCAATATTCACTGTTTTTTTAACCAATCGGGTTTTAAATTGAAAAAAAGTAAGGTTAAGAGATGTTTATATATACGAGGGGCGACTATAATGATCTTTAAAATCGGGAAAAAGTGAGGTTATAATAAATTTTGTTATTAATAAAAATTACTTACTTACTACTAGAAAAAGCAAACCTCATCCTTGTGAATAATAGCCTGCATTATCTCTCGTATATACTATTATCTACGATGAACAGAATTAAGAATTTAAAACCAATTTTAATTAATAAATATTTGACATCCGACGAATTTAACCTCACTTTTTTGAAATTTATAATAAATCCAACTAAATGACTAAAATGCCCAAAAGCCACTGTTGCCCGTAACTAAAACGCCATAAAGTCATACCTCGTTAATGTAGGAGTAGATAAAATCGTTTTTCTACAAATATTTTTTTAATTAATTTTTTATTATTCTTATTTTAAATTAATAGTTTTAAAATATTATACAAAATTGTCTATAATTACATATTTATTTAAATTATATAATTTGCATTTTAATTTATTTTTCAACATTTTGTATTACATTAATTTTACTCGACTTGCACTTTAACTGCATTAATACTTCCCTATTTTTATGAACAAATATTGTACGTGTTGGGGCAATTTTAAGCCAACATTCAAGGTCATCATGTTGCAAAGTATAAAAATTATGGGTACAATAATAAAATAATTTTATAAAATTTAATATTAAATAACATCTATGTTTTTATATTCACCGAAAAAAAGGAAATATAGGATTATATTATTATATTATATTTTTATAATTTTTTTTGATGTCTTTATAAAATAATAAATGGTACTACAATTTTATTTAAACGCGGTAGTCATTGTTTTTTTAAATGTACTTAAAATTAAATTTAAAGAGATAAATAAGTAGATATTTAAGTAAGAGTTTAAGTCAAGTCACTTCTTAAGCAACATACTGTATAACTTACATACAGTATAAGGTAAACTTAACCTCTAAATAACCTACAAGACATCTCTTGTAAACAATAAATTTCATAGATTTAGCAATTGTTATAAAATAAACATAACATACTTTCCACGGGCAAAAATGACCTCTCATTGAAGTTTCCTCGAAACCTTGTGGCTCTCACAAAAGGCAATCAAATCGGAGTGGCTGTGCACATTTCCCATGTCCCGAAAAGACAGGAAACGCGCTTAAATCGCATCCATACTGACAGTACAATAATTACACTGTACTGTACACACACACGTAAAAAATGCACAATCACACACACAAACAAACGCAAAACAAAACGTTTTCGAGGAAATGAAGCAAAACGCATGCACTAGCACACGGTCGCGTACTCACGCGCGGTACCGTCGGCGCACCTGACGAAGTCGAGCCGAGAGAACGCAGCAGGCGTAGGTACAGTTCAGGTAGAAGATGGTGGGACACCGGCTCTCTAGATCGTGGGGTCTAGATGCGACTGCCGAGAGACGGCGGATTAATTCATTACGATTCGGTTTTTTGCCTGGCTCGGTCGGAGGAGAGTTAAGTATGCTCGAATAATATTGTTGTTATGTGGCTGGTGGCGAGCGGTTCGAATACAGCATACTGTTGGCTTGCATGCAGCGGATGCATTATGTCGCCTCGTTTTTCTATGGCTTCCAAAGCCAGTTTTTGGACGTAGACGTACTAGACCTAATCGATCCGCATGGAATATCAATACGGTGTACAGGGGACATTAAAAAAATCACCAGTATTAGGGTATTTGTTTATTTTGACTACTCTTAAAATAAAATGGTCAAAATTTTACTATTTGAATTAACAACAGCATTGTTTACTAATAAAATCTTCGTTTAAACTTTTAAATAGTTATTTTGTAATACTTAAATAGTTTCACTAAATTTAAGATAAGTCCCCATCTTTGACTGTTTGTAAGATTAAAAAGTAACTAATTTCTTTAATCGTTTTTAATTCTCGCGGAAGATAACAAATCATTCTTAGAGGTCCATGGTTAAAAACAAAGATTCAAAAAGTTTACCTCAAAACAGATCTTAAAGATACATATGGGTGAATCTCACAAAATGTCCCCCGATGCATCGCGATGGTGTTACCCCGTGATATTTAATAAAACTAAATGAGTTTGACCTACACTTTTATTGTGTTTTGATCTTTTATAATTAAGTATATATTACAGCTCAGGTCCCAGATTTTTAACCGCAATTAATTATTTTTACAATGTTTTAAGTCTAAAACCTATCCTCCGTGACTGTTACTCTTTCTAGGTTAACCTATATGTTTTCAAATATCTGAGTTAGTAAAAGCGTACTAAAAATATCAGTTTACATCCAAAGCAATCGAATCAAATATAAAATATTTTTAAAAATGAAAAGAAATAATTTTTATAACCATTTATGTAGGTTAGGGTGGTCCAGAAACGAATTAAAAAAGTGAAGTTGTAAATAAACTTGTTCTCACCCTCTAAATTTTTTATATAAAGTAAAAAAAGTTATTTTACAAAATTTGAACCCTTTAGCTTAATTAGAAGGGAGTGCTCATAGCTATGATAGAATGAATCTGAAGACAGTAAATCCAAATGAAAATAATGGTCCAGAACTCTTAGTAGCATAAATTGCAGCTTTTTTGTGGATTTTCGATTCGCTTCTACGATTTGTGACAATTCTTACTTTTCGTCCTCATTTTTTGTAATGAGTTATTATGGTCTTCAAATAGTTTTACCCCTCTTCCCTCTATATCATTTACAACTGGAAGTTTTACAACACACATTCGACCTTGAAAAAAGTAAGAAATAATTTATTGCGTACAGGAGACAAAGTCCATATTAATATTATGATTATTATTATTATTGTTGGTATTAACATTATTACGAGTTCATTGGATAAATCTTTTCAAAAAGTTAGGTCGGACATAGGAGCTTTAGCGACACACGGTGCTTTGATCCAGATTTTAACATTAACAAGAGCACCAAACAAATCGTTTAAGTTGGTATTTTTCTCTTGGCGTAATATGTCACACACCCTGTCCTTGAAAGAGAAATATTTTGAAGGCATATATCAACTTAGCCATCCAACGGGCATAATGCACTAGCTCTGGTCCGCGCAAGTGATTTTTTTCCAGAGGTTCACCAAAACGACCAAAGCCAACTCGATCAGTTCCAAGTAGTCGTAATAGTTTTTGTAATATTCAAAATTCTTCGACGGTTCTAGGTCTGAGCAGCTACGATCAAAAGGTACCCAAATTATTTTAAATCGATTAAAAATTGAAATATCCGGAGAGCTGCACATTGTGCAGCTCTCCGGATATTGCAGTGCACAACTTGAAAACCTTACTAAGAATTTATTTCCAAAACATGATGACGGCAGGCTAACCAAAGTAAGTACCTATCTGCCAATTTTTTCTCAAGCAAAACGTAGCATCCGTTCTTCATAATACCAGTACCTGATCAAAGTCGAGGTACTCTTAATATCTTTTAATTTCCATCTGCTGAAACCAGTACTGGTAAACGTTCTACTTTAGTTCAGCAGTGGTAATCAGGAAGAACTTTACCATCCCAATGAACGAAAACTAAACCTTCACAAGAAAAACTTTGCTTGATATCTTTTCTTCCTTTCATGTTTTCGTCTCCGGCAAATAGTGCTGCGAGACAGGATCTTTTCCCAGTACTATCGCAATCGGTACTATAAGCCTTAGAACATCACGGTCTGAGACATTGTCCCTATCCAAAGCACTTATAACATTTAAACTGTAAAGTGTAGTTTTTAGTTTCTTAGGGTAAGGTGCGGGATAAGCAAATTTAACTAGGTAAGGGTGTGTAAGAAATATATGTTTAGGTAAATAATATTATTTGGTAATTGTAACATGTATTGGGCATAACATTTTATCTAATCAGCGAAAAGATGGCGTAATTTTTTTAAAATAAATTTAAAAAAACTCAAATCTCAGAGCTAATGAGCACTCCCTTCTAATAAACCTAGGGGCCTAAAATTTTGGGAACTTTTTATTGATGTTGGAGGTAAAAAAATTGGGGGGTGAGACAATCTTTTTTACTACATTGTAGGTGTTAACAAAAAGTTATTCTATCCTCCGTGAATCTGTTTTTTCTTTAAATTTTATGCAACGGATGGCGCTTTAATCATTTTAAATAAGCAAAAACCTCTGTTTACAACATTATAGATGCATGTGATTCCTGAAGGTCAGTTAGAATTTATATACAGATCACGGTAGGTCTAAATCAAGTCTATATTGACCGTATTAGCACCACGTTTTTTATGACAGATTTCGAAAATATATATTAACATAAGCTCAAACACCCGTTTATAGCAAAATTGCCAAGCCGTTTCGTCAGAAATCGAAATTAAGAGCAAAAAATTACAAAAATGAATAATTTTACTTGCAAATCAATCAGGTTTACTAAATAAGAGTCATTATGACATTATAACAATCAAGGAGGTGGCGCCACAACGAAGGGTCATCTGTCGAACTGTTTACTTTACGGACATAGTTGCTGGACTACACATTGAGCTTTACGCTGCAGAATAGTTTATTGTCTAATTCTGAACCTTATAATAATGAACGTTTAAATAATGTATGTGAAAACTCAAGCTTGGACCCATTAAAAAAATCGAAAAAGTTTTGCTTGTTATGTTTTAAAAAGAAGGCGGATATGCGAAAAATTACTGGAGCTCTTTAGAGCTCGGTTCAAGACATGTTTCCTTTTAATCCTAAAGACGTCTTTCATGAATTATATGTAATGGTTGCAAAATACTTAGTTACCGAAAAAAAAAGGATCAGAATTCTTCTGCTGTTCAGACACCCGATTATTCTACATTTCCTTCTTTACCAAAACATACAAGGAAACAAGATAAAATAAAATGCTAGTGCAAATTATGCGAGTTCGTACGAACACTGGTACATCACAATTTTATACAGAAAAATATCAGTGTCAAGAAAAAAGTTGCCAAGCAATGTGCAAGGTGTATCTCTTTTATTTTTAATGAGTTTCCATCAATGTTTCTGCAATAAACTTTCCGTAGCGATGGTCTCCTTATTCTTCTTCTCGGTCTGAAGTACGAAGAACCGCAGCTACACCCACCACAGTATTTGTTGAATGTCCAAAATCTGTTCCAATCTTTAAAACCTCTTTTGCACGAATTTGTTTATCTCGTTTTTTTGTATTATTATTTCTACCATGGCGTCGAGATAAGTGCATTTCAGCACCGAGTTCTTGAATATTGATATTGCTTATATTTTTAAACAGATCAGTTAATAAATGTTCCTGTACTTTTGGAGGCAATTCTGATTGAAATGACTCGACTAGATATGCATAATTGTGCGTTTTATACCACAAAAGTGGGATTCCTTTTTGCAAAGATTTTCTACACCTTGCACATTGCTTGGCAAATTTTTTCTCCCAGTGTTCGTACGAACATAATTTGCACTGACATTTTATTTTATATTGTTTCCTTGTATGTTTTGGTAAAGAAGGAAATGTAGAAATTGAGTATCTGAACAGCAGACGAATTCGGATCCATTTTTTCGGTAAATATATATTTTGCAAGCACAGCATATGAGTCGTGGAAGACGGTTGTCTTCAGGATTAAAAGGAAAAATGTCCTGAACCGGGCTCTGAAGAGTTACAGTAATTTTTCGCATATCCGCCTTCTTTTTGAAACATAACAATCAAACTCGCGATTTTCTTCATGGGTCCCAGCATGAGTTTTCACATACATCATTTTAACGTTCATTGTTATATACATGTACTATGCTCCACACTTCAAAGTCCCACCACGTGACCACGTACGGAACGCAGTCTTTTGATAATTTGTCATTTAAGGCTTTTCAGGTTATGTATCTGTCAAAGTATAGTCAATGCAAGAACTAATATTTATACTGTTACCATTTATGTTTAAGCGTTAAAAGTTTATAAATCTGTATAGTATCACAGTAACAATGGTTGGTTTAAGAGTTTAGGAGTATAAATACTGCATTTAATGAAATTCCAAAGTGTATAGTGCCAAATAAGTAAAATTTTTGTGCATTTGGTCTACATATATCTGGTTTTATCAATAAAATAGTTTTAACTAAACGGCATTTATTAAAAAAATCTAGCTTGTCTATTATGGAATAAGAATATCTGTATCAAATGTAGGTTAATATATTATAACAAAAAATATCATCTAATTTTGAAACTTTAAGGTTAGAAAAATCTATTTTCATCAAAATAAATACCTAAGTATTTTGGATTATTTGGAAGAATGTGTTAATATGGTCATATAAATATAGATATACTAAATAATTGTTGAATATGGTTCAAATTAAATTAAAGCTTTTATACTCTTAACAACAAAACTTGTGCATACCTCTCGGGATCCCT